ACAAGCCAGTGACATTAATTATGTTCACTGTGTTCAGAATGGCCTTTTAAAAACAAATATTATAGTGCCATTTATCAGCTTAAAACCTTCAAAGGCTTATATATTTCCACAAGTGTATGTGTGAAAATGCTACAAAGCTCTGGAAGAGAGACACTAAACTGATCGTAGAGGTTACCCCTGGGAAGAAGACTAGGACCGCAGGCTGCAAAGAGGATGTGGAAGGTTCCGAGGCCTAACGGGGGAGGGGGGAGGGCTGGCGGCTAGGGCACAGGCCCTGGTGCCGCTTGAGGCCAGTGCCAATTAGCAGTTTCTACTGGCCGTCACAGTTTCCATCGCCAGCTATGAGAGACCATTCAGCAATTTAACACTAACTGCCCTATGCCCTATTTTCCAAAGTCTGGTCCCCAGGAAGGCGGGTTTATTATTGGTGAAGGAGGACTTCGACTTTACCATTATTTGAATCTTTATCAGAATGTTTTCAAGTATTATTTATTTAATATTTAACAATAAGTAAAATAAACTAGGAAAGTGAGCCTTAACTAGCTCTAGGTCAGATCAGATTCACTAGTTTAAAAAAAACAAAAAAAAGTTGCCGTCGAGTCAATTCTGACTCATAGTGACCCTATAGGATAGAGAAGAACTGCCCCATGGGGTTTCCAAGCAGTGGCTAGTGGATTCCAATGGCTGACTTTTTGGTTAGCAGCCATAGTGCTTAACCACTGTGCCACCAGGGCCCCCATTTACCAGTAGGTTGTATGAATTCCCAATGCCAAGTTGCCTGGAAGAGGACTCAGGTGTAGCTACCACCTACAGGTACCCCCAGGGAATGAGAAACATCCTCTCCCCCTATCTAATACCTGAGAATTTTAATGAAGGTATTCTTACCTTTGTGGTCCACAGTTTGACAGTCCAGTCAAATGATGACGTGACAAACAGGTGTGAAAAGTCAATTGGGCCCACTGCCATGTGGCAGTTAATCCCCGTCACTGGTCCTTGGTGACCTTCGAAGACCTCACCAATACCTGCTTTGCTGCATGAAGACCACATGTAAGCAGAATTTCAGTGACCTTTGTAAAACAGTAATTGCTTTAAAAAAACAAACTGATCTCTGCATGACTATTGCTCCATAATTTACAAGAACCAACACCACCAAAAATGAAACCACTTTGAGCTCTCTTTAGATGAAAGAAACTGCAATAGTGCTAGAGTCTCGTTGGTGATTAAAAAACAATATAGTTTATGAGAAGGAAAAAGGGGAGTAAAAGGACAATACAATCATTTTAATCTTCAGAATTTAAAGTCAAATTTTATTATTTTATCCTTTTTCAGGAACTCCTCAAATCGTATCATTGCTGATGCAGCTATTTTGATGGAAAACATAAATACTTAGATCTCAGAAACTTCCGTATTGATTAAAAGACCATTCTGTTCTTATGATGACATGTTGTACACGTTCCATTTTAATTTCTTTTAGAGAGTCTATTGGCTATAAAACTCTACACATCCTTGAAGGAATATTCACTTATCCATTTAAAGAAGTTTTGTAAATTCAGTTGACATACTGGAAAATATAATCTTTGTGGAAACCCTTGTCACCACAAAATAATATGCATAACTTAAATATAATATGGGGAAAATGATGTGTTCTCTTCACTGAAAACAGAAGAGAGATTTATAGGTCCACTAAATATAAACTCCATGAGGGCAGGTACCTTGTCTTTGTGGCCAAGTGTTTACAAATCATACGACAAATACTTAATAAATACTTGTTGAACAAAATAGCAAAGGACAAAAACTTTTAAGGCACATTTGAGAGAGAATGATACACATTTAAAAAGTCATCCACAGGCA